ACAAACTCTGTAGATACAATATCATACAAAAAAGGGAACCACATTTTAGATAAAATATGTTTCCATGATTATATTTGGAAAGATTACTTAAAAGTTTTCAATTTACTCACGGGCTTGCAAGCAGCCTTTAAGGCTGTTTTCGGTTAATGTTAAAGATTAGGACCCAAATTTGGAACAATTTTTTTCAAATATAAAATAAATGATAAATTAATATGATATTATGGCTTCTCTATGCTTTAAAGAGCAGTATTTTTATCATACTACCCATTTTTAACCGAGTTGATTCATTTTTTCTGGTAAAAAAATGTTTCGTGTTTTTTCTCCTATATCGTAATGTTAAATGTGCTACGCCTTCACGTATTAAAACAAAAAAGAAAATATTAATGGAATATTTTGAAATTTTTAAACGCACTATATTGTTAACAGAAGTATGAGCTAAGATATTGCGAATTTCCACGGGAGTTGAGGCATTTTTCTCTGTCTGAAAATGTGCTTCACGTTTAGGTCAATCTCTCGTACTTTTACCGAAGACAACCTTAAAAAATACTGCTGACTCCTACGTGAATGAGAAAAAGCGTCCGAGCCAGAACAGTCTCGTTTAACGCGGATAAAGTTTCATGAAGGCACGTCAAGTTCAAGAGGGAAAGTTTCAGGGAAATGGAATACGAGCGTGATGCCAGAAAAATAACGGTCATTGATACTAGAATCTTCTACTTCAGGGTGCAACAGGAAACTAGCACCAGATGGAGATGATATAAATTGTATTTATATTACACTTTATAGTATATTAATCTAATATTATTTATTTTAATATACAGTGGAAACCAGATTTAACGAATTAATCGGGACCTAACATTTTGTTCGCTTTTCGTTATATCAGTTTCTAAACAAAACGTATAATTTTTGCTCTTATCTTTTGGAAATCCTATAAAAAGCTACAGAAAAAATATCCACAGTAAGAAATTACACAGTTTTTATTGAACAACTAAGCATACTGTTAGAGAATTATAACGCATCAGTAAGTTATAAATTATAAAGTATGTGACTACCTTCGGGGCACTTTTTTTTAAATATATAAATTTTCAACTAATTAAACTATTTTTTAATTGAAGTGGAGCATAAAACTAGGATTTCAAGTACAATTTCCACAAAATTAAAAATAATTTTGGATATATTGGGAATTTCAAGTGAAATTTAAGTAAAAAAAAAATGCAATTACGGTAAGCCTTGTATTAAAAAGTCTAATTATCATATTCGAATAATCATATATCATAATTATATCATTATCACAGATAAAGATATAATTTATGCATTGCATAAATTATATCATTATCTGTGCTCACAGCTATCAGATTTGTAATACTTTTGAAAGTTTTTGAAATATGTCATTTTTTATGCAGGAACTCAACTTTTTACAAAAAACTAATGTTATTTTCTCACAAAAAGCTCAATAAAATACATAAATATATACACATGTATTAGATTATAGTCTAGACTGGAGATAACACTGATTAAAACATTTCCTCGAAATTTCAATTAAATATATTGAAAAGAAATTTTGCAGTGAACTTTACCGTGAAGCAAAAAGTTGAAAAACATAGTTTCTCAGAAAATTCATTTAAAGATTTTAAAACCATATAAAAAATTTCTACTAATTGTACAATTTTTAAACTCACCATATTTATAAGTCAATATGTCCTTAACTTCGTGTTTAATTAATTTGGACTTTTTTTTAACCTTTTGCTGTTTCCTGGAGAGTTTTATAGACCATAAAAATTGTCGTTTTTAGGGAAATTTTGATGAAAAAATGGAGTTACACAAACCTCTAATAAATGTAGTTACATAATATTTATACAGTACGTGAATACCACTTTTATATGTGCAAGGAATTAAAAGATTTTTAATACTTTTGAAATTTTTTTTTAAATATGTCATATTTTATGCAAAAACACGACTTTTTAAAAAAATTAATGTTTTTTTTTCGTAAAAAAGCAATAAAATTCACAAATACATACACAGATATTAGAATTTCATTCATAACACATATAGAACTAAATGAAACATGTTCTGAAAATTTCAATTCAATATCTTAAAAATATATTGTGTAGATATCTACTTCCATTTTTGTAAACTTCATTTCCGGTTTACTAATTATGCTATAATTTTGCTATTGCTTCTCAATATCGTAGAAAGAAAAATAGAGTGGTTTTGGAGTCTTTCTTAAATGTATGTGCTATAAATTAAAAGCATAAAAGAAATTTCGAAAATTTTTACCCAAATGGTGAATTTTGGGTAGTCACATACCTTAAAATAGTGACTAATAAATGTTTTATAATCTCTGATTAATGACTCGAAAGTATTTTTTTTAACTTTATGTATAGAAGAAAATACGTGACATTATTTACATCCTGCTTCATTATATATGATTTATCAATTCCCAAACAATGTAAAGCTGTGATACCCAAAGTGGTCTATATAGACCACAGGGGTCCATGAAGACCCGTAAGTGGTCTACATCAGCAAAAAATAATTTAGTGGTCTATGAGATGTAAAGAAGGGTCTAAGATAGTTACTCTCTTTAAACCAAACCGTGACTATAATTTTAAAATAAAATTTGATTAAATGTAAACCAAATTTCACCTGTTTAACATATTTATTTACTAAATTTAATGAGGTTAATTTTTCAGTTACAAGGTAAGAGCATAAATTTTATTTAAACACCAACTATTTCAGCGTTTCTTCCCAAAATTAGGCTAAAGAAATATAAATTAAAATTATATATATATATAAAAAAAACTTTTTTAAAAACAAGTGTTTATTCAAATGCTCTAAAAAGAATAAAATAAACTTTTCTTTTAAAACTTTTTTTGCTATCAACTTGTATAATTCATTACACAATTTATGATAGAAAAGTTTGTAGCTAGATTTTAGTACTCGTATTTACTTCGTTTGAAAAATTTAAAAATTAAAATCAATCAGATCAAGTTATTTAATTTGCTTGTTTATCAATACAGGTCAATCTCGCGACAAGCTTTTATATCATAAATTGTGTAACGACTTTATAAGTTGATAGCAAAAAAAGATTTAAGAGAAAAGTTTATTTTATTCTTTTTAGAGCATTTATATATATATATATATATATATATATATAAAAAGCTTGTTTTTAAAAAGGTCTTTTTCTGGACAGACGTTTCTGCCTGTTAATCTCATTCAAAGCATCATTGTGGCAAGGTCCTATGTCGGTTAATTTTGAACAGTCCAGTTAAGGAGTACTCAACATTTTTTCCCCGCCTGGCCACATATATATGATAGATATTTCACTCAGACCGCAACAAGAGGATAATGGGAAGAGGATATAAACACTGTTAGACCAAAATAACATTGTGCAATGCAAAATTAATTAAAATATTATAGCTCATTTTTTTTACTAATTTTTTTCAGTTTTTGTGCAGAATTTGGATAATACTATTCTACAAAAGCAAATATATTTTCGTACGATTATATTTAAAAATGAGGCATTTTATTTTTAAATGACTGATTCTAAAAGAGGAAAGCCTGTACTTTCTTAGTGCAGAATATCGATTCAATAACACGAAAAAATATTCATACGGAACGATTTAGAAATCATTTTCATGAAAACGCATCGATTTTGACTCATTTTAAAAAAAATTGTAAAAAATAGAAAATATCATTATTTTTTTAAAAAGAATTATACCGTATCATGCCCAAATAAATTATCTTTCCGATTAGGTAATTATTTTTTGTCTCAGTTTGAAAGAAAGTATAAGATGGTTTTTGAAAAAAGGTCGAAAAATCGGAACTTCTTTAAGATCAATCCGATAAGCTACACGGCAGAATAAAAAAAAAATCTCGCAGGGTTAAAAGGTTTTTAATTAATATCTTGTTAACTAATTGCGATATCAGAATCTAAATCATCAAAACATGCATTGTCTTCCAAACTAAACTTGTACACAAAATTTCAGCTCAATTGGTTGAAAACATCAGCTTCAAAATTGAGTTGCAAGATTCCACCCGAAAAAATTACTTTAATTGATATCTGCACTATTAAAATTAGGAGGTAAACAAACGTACGCGACTATACGAATAGGTGTATCTTCTTACTTGAGAGCTCTGATAGCGAGACGGGAAGGGGAATTTCCATGACAATATGTTATGCCTTTTAAAATGTTCGTGCAACGCCGGTAAGAAATAAACCTGTCTGACAAAGAAAAGAAGCGAAAATTTTTCGAAACAGGGAATTTCCAGTTATACACTCGGTAAAAGTCCGAGCAACGCCGAGCTAAGTGGAGGAGGGGGAGAGAGTGGAAGTCATTTTGAAAAAGAGTATTAGAAGTGCTGATTTTGTGAAGGAAAGGGAAAATTTATAAAAGTGGAGAAAGCCCGTGCAACGCCAGGCCATGCAGCTAGTCTTTTTACCTAAATGTGATATCGGAATATGAAAGGTGAAAACATGCATTGTCATCCAAACTAAACGTGTATACAAGTTTCAGCTCAGTGAGTTGGAGACATCAGCTTCAAAATTGAGTTGCAAGATTCGACTCGAACATCTTACATTACAAGTTAAATAAAAGCTTGTAAAATGTAACATACTTTGTACGTATACATAATGGAAGTGTTGTAAAATGTCTCGTTATACAAATGAAAAATATTTCAAAAATATTTTACACGAAAAAGTGATAATTGTAGGCGCGGGGTATCGATCTCCCTACCTCTCGCATGCAAGCGACAAAGCGCTCTACCATCTGAGCTACGCTCCAGTCGACACAGTGTTTTTGTAATCACGCTCGCCTTAACACCTGATACAAGATCGTTACGGTAACTAGGTCAATTAAAAGTGCTACTGGAGAAACTAGAATCGAGGAAATAGATATCACACATATAGAATATTTCAAAGTAAATAGAAATAGCTTGATAGATCTGCCTTTCTTGGTGCTCCCTCAAAAGAATTTCAAAAGCTTTCTACCCAATCAAATAATAGTTGGAGGCGCGGGGTATCAATCCCCGTACATCTCACATGCGAAGCGAGCGCTATACCATCTGAGCTACGCCCCCAACCCACACACCCATCACCTTAACACCTGAACAAGATCGTTACAGTAATTAGGTCGATATCGGAATATAAATGGTCAAAACATGTATTGTCATCCAAGCTAAACGTGTATACAAACTTTTAGCTCAATCGGTTGAAAACATCGGCTTAAAAGTTGAGTTGAAAGATTCCACCCGAAAAAATTACTTTAATTAATATATTTTAACTAATTGCGATATCGGTATATAAATGAGCAAACCTTGCATTGCCATCCAAACCAAACGTGCATACAAAATTTCAGCTCAATCAGTTGAAAACATCAGCTTCAAAATTGAGTTGCAGGATGCTACCCGAACATTTTACATTGCAAGTTAACTAAAAGCTTGTAATAAAACACTAAAGGTCGCGAATTTTCCCAGTTTCTCAATTGGCCAGAGACATTCTGAAAGGAAAATAACGTTTTAACCTACGTTCGACATTTAAATGGCTTGTATTCAGATTTTGAAACAAGGTTTGAGAATAGTTTATGCTTATTACCATAGTATGCAATTAATTCATACGGTTACATTGAAGAAAAAGCCGTAATATTAGAGGAACTGATCGGGAAAGGCAGTTGCGGAGATCTTAAAGTAAAATTTAGAAACTAATGCTTGCAATTTAGGCTTTAAAAAGACATACCTGTTATTTGAACGTAATTATGGCGTATTGTGAAAAAAAATTTAGTAGCCTTTTCTAATGAGAAGGAATTTCAGCGTGGTTGCCAATCCCCAAAATAAAAAAAGAAAGAAAAAGAAGACTGGACTGGGTACAAACCGAGGAAATTTAAGGTTAAATCTGACAAGATTGATGCTAAATGTTGAAAATTTGATATTGAAAGACCAGATTCATCCTTTCCATTACAAACATTTGTTTGCTAGTCAGTTATTTTATGTATTAATTAAGTTTTACTTTAATACCTTGTGCTTTTTAAGTTTTAAACACTATACTTCATTAAAGTTAGAAATCTTAAATATTATATGTAGCCCCCTATACCAGTCGTCAAAAAGGCATGTAATTTGATAAATCTGCGAAAATCAGTATTAGGTAAGCAATGGTCTGCCCGAAATTAAAAAAAAAACAAGATAAGGGGTCTATGAGGGGAAAAAGTTTGGGAACCTCTGATGTAAGGCATTAAAAAATGTAACAGTTTTGATAATAGTTTCGTTATCGATTTCTGCATCAAAATCGTTCGTCATTGGCTTTAACAAATCAACAATTTCTTTAAATTTAATTTAATTTAATTTCATCAAATGTAACGTAATAGTTAAAATTTTAAAATATCCCTGTGCTATGGAGTGGGTTGGAATAAGAAAGGAATTTACTGTCCTATTCAAAACTCACTCATTTAATTACACTCATGACTCACCTACATTTGTCTAATAATTCTAATGGCACCCTTTTCCGCTGAAATTTGATTCCTTTAAGAAAAGTCTTGTTCTGTTCCGGACAAAAATGGTATGTCATTTGAAAAAAAAATCCAGTTTTTTCTAATAATACCTAATAAAAAAAATTTTCAGCTGTTGAAGTAATTTGTTAATTCGGGGTTTATTTCTCATTAAATAGGGGTTTCCACCTTCTTTATCCGGGGACAGAGAAAAATTCGTTAAATCGGGGTCCGACTGCATTTTCCCTTCCAAATAAAGTTCATGATCATAAAATTACCAAACCGTTAAAAATATGAGAGGGAGTTGCGTGTTCTGAGAAAGCGGGTGAGCAAAAGATAAAAATGATGGTCTTATTTGTATTCAGGAGGCAATTTTACAAAAGAATAAGCCAAAATTGTATCAGGACTAGAATTGTTTTTCGAGAGCCGAGTGATATAGTATTCTGTTACTAAACTTAGAATATATTTCAGAAAAACTAATTTTTCTTACACTATTTTATCCTTTTGTCCCAGTTGTTTCGGTAAATACAGGGGATGGATGCTTTTAAACTAAGTTTAAGCCTTCAATCATACTAGCTCATAGGATCTATAATTCGCTATATTATATTATGTGGCTATTTGACAAAAATTGTCTTGTACTTCTGTTATAGTTTCCATTTAATTAAATTAATGTAGTAATTTTATATATAAACACACATAAATATATGTGTATGTATATGACTGTTTATGAATATATATAATAATCGTGCATGATCATGTGTTCGATTCCGAGCATTTAGTAACCCAACATTAAACATTTAAAAAAATTTGAAAAAAAAATAAATGCGTAAAATTTGTTATGAGGATCACAATATTTCTCAAAAACAGTTTAACAATGCTGCATGATCCTAAAATTATCTAGCTTATGTTAACATTCATTAATTGTAAGAAATTCTCTTACGAATTATTAGTCTTTTCATGGTGGCAGTCCCATTTTTTTCCACAAAAATTTTGTGTGACCCCATAAGCACTGCGCGAATTGTACACATGCCTGAAAACTTTTATACAAGTTTTTTTTTTGTAGTATATTTTTGTTTTGAAGTAATAAACATAAGGAATAAGTTTTTGCTTTGAATATAACGATAGATAAGTTTTAATTAAGTAACAAAATAACAAATAGTATTATGTAATGCTATAAAGTACGAGTATGAGTAAAGTAAAATATGATTCATCGCCTTTTGTTAATATCATCATATCAAGAATCAAATATCAATGAGGAGGATATGCTAAATTATCTTAAATTATGTTATAAAGTCTTAGAATAATAGTCGACATGTGAGGACGAAGTACTTACTCAATATTCGTTAGATTTGATTGATGTTTTGATTTTATGGTTGTTAAAAACGAAAATGTCATATTACATAAATAAGTTGCAGAAAATGGTAAAAGAAACTCTTTTGCAATTTCAGAAATTTTTGGAAATTCTTTTGCAAATCCTAGCCAAAATTCAATTCATAACCCTGAATCTGTTTATACCTCATTAGGTTCTTCTTGTGATTTTAGGGGCAAATGAGTGATATTTTCAAAAGCAATGTAGAATGACTTTGCAATATATGTAAATAAACAATTAAATTATCATTTATAATAATAATGGAGGACAAATTAATTTATTCAAAAGATGTACGAAAATACTCAGAATTTTTGGCGACCCTAGCTGCAAGTCATACGATTGCTATTTTTAGAAACACCCTTCTATAGCAAATTAAGGTGCCTGCCTACCTTGAAACTGTCGTTTTTCGTGTACATAAGATAATTTTTTCATTTCAATACCTTTAGTTTGAACATTTTTCTTTCCAAAACAGTTTCTCTTTTTCCTTTACGCGAAACAGAAATAAAGTTATAGTGATTTTAAAAAACATCACTCTATGAAAATGGACAGTAAGATAAAACTTTAAATGATTTGTTCTCAAAATAAAGTTTTCGAAAGAAAATCTTTTCCAGATACATGATATCTTAACAACTAAACCAGATAACGTTTTGAAATTCTGTGGGAAAGTTTATTATACTATTTTTCATACAATGGACTATAAGTTTGGTTCTAGAAGAAATATCTTTTCATTTAGGGTAGTTTTTATAAAGAAAAAACTTTAAAAATATCAAAATTTTCATATTAATATGTATAACTGTCTGTAATTAATTTTTTTTTGCATTTTAATATTTCTCTTAGATTTAGGTTCATTTTAAAGAGCACCACAATATGTGCATATTGTGTATAAAGGCAAGTGTGATAATTGTATTGTAAATTTTTATACACTGTTACCCGTTTTAGTAAAAATTTGGTAAAATTTCCTTAAAAACAACCAATTTTTCTAAACGTTAAATATTTATTTAAAAAATTTTATGTACTTACATATTTTTTTTTCTTCCGAAAAACACCCAATTTGTTTCAAAAAAAAATTTTTACAAAAAAATTGAGTCCGAAGATTGGAAGACACCTTAATAGTTTTAAAATTATTGACAAAATGCATAATAGCAAAGAAAAGTAAACACATGCCAAATAATTGAAATATCGTAAATCAAAAGAATATGCTTATCCTTAAAATATCTTTAATTCTTTGAAATAATTATACAATAATGAAATAAAAACTTACGAAGCTTTATCTACTTTAAGGAATATTTACGTAAAATTCATGTTTTTTTTTAAATAAAATATAAATATGTCATGTTTAGTAATAACATATTATTTCATTCTAGGCTGATCTGATATGGATTTCTGCACAAATTGCAAATGGAATGGTTTATCTGTCATCCCAACACTTTGTCCACAGAGATTTAGCTACACGGAACTGTTTGGTTGGGGATAATTTGAGTGTCAAAATATCAGATTTTGGAATGTCAAGGGATATCTATACTTCAGATTATTATAAAGTAAGTTCATAATTAGAATCATCTTTAGCATGATTGATAAATTTAGTATTTATTTTTTTCTTGTGTCTTTTCCTCACGTCCCTTTGTTACGTTTTCCTTATTGTGATTGGTCTAACCATTTGGTTGTAACGTATCAAATGTTCAATTTTCATCAGGTGTGTTTTTAAGAATTTTTTTAATAAAAGACTTTTTTATAATATATATTCATATATTATACATAATTTTAAAGCTAAAGTATTTGATATTTGTGTTTTAATTAAAAATATTTTAATGCTTCTATAATTTTATATGTTTAAATATGGGATGAATTTTCGGAATTTTCGAGTATTATTTTCGTAAAAGCGATCATAATGCTGCAGCAGTTGCCCGAAACATTATTACCGCATTTGGGTGATGTCTCTGTAAACGAACTTACCATCCAACTTTGGTAAGCTAAGAAATGAATCTGGTGACAAGAGTTTTGGAATATAAGACAGGAGTGGATCAAGACAGCGCTGTGCCCCCAGATAAATTTTTGTAATGCAGTGCCATCGCCATCTGTTGTCCAAAGTATTATTTATTTTTGTGAATATATCTCATGATTATTTATCAATCCTCAGTTTAATTTGCAATTTATTTAGTTAATGAAAATAATTTATTGTTTTATAATTTAAATATGATTGAAAAAGCCAAGTTTTTTAAATTATGTAAATT